ATTACAACAATATAATATATTTATTTTAAATTTTATTTTATATTAATATCAGTTGTTTAAGTTAATAACAACATAATAAATCAATAAATTTATTTTTTAATTTAGTTTATATTATTGTTTACTTTATAAATTAATAACATTACATTTTCAATAAAATATTAAATAATTTATATTTATTATAAAATATTTAATTTTTTATAATAAATAAATAAATTTAATCATGATTCAATTGATCTAATCTAAACCAACTTATTTATAATTTTGGGTTGAATTTATAAATAAAAATAAATAAATAAATTTAACCCAACTCAAATCATCAAATTTTGATTGAATTGAATTACAAATTTATTTCTATCCAATCCGACCAGCTCACATTCCGGGACAGCTACATCCATTCAGACAGTAGCACAAGAAGATTGTCTGATTAGTGGTTTTTTTCGTGTAAAAAATTATGGGATTCGAGGAAGGAAACAATGTTCATTGCTTGTTTGTAGCAATTTAGGACTTTAATTTGAGGTTTAAAATACTTGAAAAATGTAAATAAGACGGAGGGAAGAATATATTGAAATAAAGGATAACAATGGACAAGGAGGACAGATCCGTACCATGTTTACGAGTTATATGTGAGGATATGTATAATTCAGTTCTTTAAATATCTCGATAAAAGTTTGATTATTAGATTCTGTTTATGAAGAAAATTGTCTAAAAAAACAAAATTTACTCAGTGATTTGTACATCTCAAAATGAATTAATTTTTCACTATCTATCTATCAGAAGATATGTTTAGTTCTAAACAAGACAAACAAAAATGTGATAATAGGGAATTTCTAAACGACATGAGATGTCAACGCCCCCATGTTTCATCATCTCTATTATCGGTATTTGATGTTGGAAGTTGATGTCTCGATATATATAATTCCCTTGTGATTTTAGAAAATTTAGATGTCATACGGATAATAGTCATATTTGAGATTTTGAGGTGGCTGTGGAATTCATAGTTATGGCCTAGGATCGGTTGCTGGTAAGAAAAAAACATCCTATACCATATAAATATATTAAGAGAATATGTTCTTAATTAATATTTATCAACGATACAATGAGTACATTTACATGTGAGATAGATCCTTAAGCTAAGGATGTTGTGACAGTAACTATGC